GTGTTCATGGTGATCATATTTTTGGATCCCAAAACTTGGGAAGCACTCAACACACCAGGCTGAAGCAAAACTTTCCCCATTTCACCGTACGAGGTAAGATGATCTAAAAGTATGTACTCAGCTTACAACTTTACTCGTGGGACGAGACGTCCTGACTTGAGCCCCGAAAATTATTGAAATTATATACAGTTAGTAATAAGTATGCATACATAAATATAATACCAAACAATGTACAATGTGGTTTGGCCATTGCTATATATTTAAAATAAAATAAATCTGCCATATAATTATAAAAAATTTAAAAAATAAACCTGAAGAAAGGAGATGGAGAGTACTGAGTAGTTTCAAAAACATACATAGAATTAATTAAATGTTAGACAGAATAAATGCAAGCTTGTATCATTTTATTTTATTTCTCTAGCTCCCAAGACCCGTATTTTAGCCGTTCAATCTACTTTTAGTCATCATAACTGCCATTTATTTAAATTTCTTCCTATTGATCGATAATTGTTCATGACTTTTACAACTTTACTCACTCCCGCATATTGTCATTCATCAGATCACTGTATAATAATGTGAACGTCTTTAACTAGAATTTCTCCTCAAAAAATCAGAACTTGAGGTGCTGAAAAGATAAAGAAAACAAGGAAATCAAAGTCGGGGCCAAACACAATGAACAGTACAGCATTGTAGAGTAAAAAATAAACTCTTTTAAAATTGTGCCCTACAGATCAGTACAATTAGTTGCACTGAACAGGTGGTATACAGTCCACTACCTCTTCAATCTCCATATCAAGAAGTATAAACAGGTGGCACTCAGTGATAAAGGAAAAACCCCACTAACATTTTTCCTCAACAAAAACAGGTACAAGAAAATTAACATCACAGGTACTCACATCAGATGGCTAACATGGCTACTATCAGGACACAGCCCACTAGCATACTTCCAGACGGTAGCAAACAACTCCGATTTCGAAACACAAGACTGTGAACACTGCCCAGGGGAAGCAGAAACATCACAACACTTCCTATGTGAATGCATCCAGCTGATGACAACTAGAATGAGGATATTTGGTAAACCCATCCTAACAATTGAGGAACTCATCAATAGTAAACTCGACCACATTATCAAATTCGTGGAACAGTCAACAAGGTTTGAGACGATCTATTTGGATAAGCATCTAGGACATACACCAAGGTTCATAAATAATCATACACTAGACCCACACAGGACTATCTCAGATAGTGACACATATTCAGGTGTGGACCATGCTCGGGAGTCCCTCGCCTGCCCGCCAAAGAAGAACATCTGAAGTGGGTTTGCTCTGAGCAAGGTAGTAACAGCTTCGAGACTCCAGAGGTCTGTTGCGTTGATATCTATTATTCTATGTTTTTGTATATACTGAGGGAGTCCTGGAGTGTGGCTAGCAGGAGTCACACTCTGTGGGCACGGCGAGAAGGCCTCCCTCTTCAGTCTTCACTAGGTGGCCAGAAACCGTTGACCAAAACAGAGAGAGAGAGAGACAGTCCACTACAATTTAATAAAATGTCCACTGAAATCAGGAGCACAATAGCACCAGCTCAAGCTTGTTGACAACTTCTATACAATCATCATTGCTAAAAGTCGCCTAGGAATTCATAAAGCTGCAACATGCAGCCAACAATACAGCATGGACCTCAAGTGATTATGACACCGCTGTTGATTAAAAATAACCTCCATCAACAAAAATGAGTAACCAGAGTAAGTATCGCAAAACATTCAGAAATTGCCATTAAACTTTAGAACTACCAACAACTATTTACAGAATAAATGTTAGAAAAAAGGATAAAAAGTTATTCAAAAAGTACAACCTTTATTAAGAGGGAACTGCATTGTTATTAATATTAGATATAAATCCACGATCTACATAAGCACTATTACACTCAGGTACTAGCTCATAAATTAATGATTTTCTTAGTGAATAAATAGATACATTTACAGTATACGTTAAATTTCGGTTATTCACAAATCACAGGCCGTTAGATTCATTGTCTCCTAGAGTCCTAGTGTAATGTATAGTGTTTAGCGTGTAAGGCGTAGTGTTTAGTGTCAAATGTGGATGTGTAGTGTTTTGTGTCTCACAGCAACAAATACAAGCGATCATTAATTGTTGGATTAATACGATTATGATCTCAACTTTAATAATCTTAATCATTTAATCATAACTTGGTTCAGTCTGCTCAGTAATATAAAATACTAGCAATAAATCAGTGTTTGGAGGAAAGCTTGAAGGTATACGATTAAAAATAACTATTATAACTAACCAGGTTACAAGTAAGACAGTCAGTATGTTGCAGACTGCAGAGGTTGAGAGGTAGATTAATCAGTCACAGTGTGAACTAAAGCATCTGGCTTTGGTCTGACTTCGTTTTCACCGCACTTAGATCGTTGCACTGCTTCAAATCATCTCCTAAACAGTTAAAAACTAAAGCAGTTTAAACGAATAGTAACGCAAAATATTTTTATTAAGAATGGACCACATTAAAATCAATAAATCTTCGGCTGCAACTTCAAATTGCTACATCAATCAAAATGGATACTTGAAGAGCCATAAAATGATGACATTATACAATAGACATTTTACAATATTATTCCCATTATACCTTGAAAAAACTACACAGGGAATTTAAACATAAATTTCGAGATACAATTCGAAAGGTTTGAATATCCAGACAAGATATAATAATAATAATACTGTTAGGTATCTGTGTGTGCACACAAAAATTCTTAACGACCTACTGACATTAAGCTAGTTTTTTATTGAAGAGTGAAAAATGTTAAACAGTATATATAATATATATACAATAAATTAAATCAAGTGATGCAATTGGCAGAGCACAAACGTTAATCCTGAGCAATAGATATCGTCTATCCTTCGTAGCTCTTCTCCTCAGGTATCAGGTTGAAGGAGACATTGGATATATATAGGGGCGGTCCATGCCTTCTTTGGCTTTCCATGTACACCTCTAACTGCTACTAGCACACTCCTCTTTAGTCTTTATATCCATGCTCAGGCGTGTCCTGATGTTACACATCACCTGGCTGTAGTCCTCCTTGGTCTTGGTGGCTATCAACACAGCAAGTCTCCTTATAAAACACTTGGCCTCAAGCTCAGGTGCCATTCCTCCTGTAGTGGTAAATACAGGGAGGACAAAAATGACCCTTTCTTCAATTATTGTAGCACACTGTTCATGCATACTGGTTCTATTTCTCATTCTCGTGCAGAGTGTAGAGCTGTGGCATGGTCTTTCCTTGATATGTAGGCGATTTAGGATTGAAAATACGCATGTCAAAGAAAGTCCTCTCAAATGTGCTCCATACTCCTCTTGCTGATATATCGAGCCTAGCCTTATATCAGCATTGTTGCCCTTTTGTTGGAAGTTGGCTGATTCTATAGGTGTTAACAGGGGCTAAATCCTCAGCTCACATCCTTGGTCACCAGCCTAAGGTATTCAGCAACAGAGTCTCTCATGTTGTTATGACGGTAGTTCTTACAGTTGAGGATATGATTGTGATCATTCTTGGCTCCATAATCACAGATTCTTGGGGTGTTAGGGATGTCCCAACCACACCAGAGATGAACAGCATCTCTGAAGTCTTGCTCGCTATAAGCATACCCTAGCTGTTGAATGGGGAGACATGTTAGCCAAGCTCCTGACCCATGTTCTTGTACCAGTTGCAGTGACTCCCTAGTATTCTCATCCACTTCACTTGAATTATCTCAGCAAGCTCCTTCTTCAAGCGTAATTCTTTAACTAACTTGAGGCTGTTAACTCTGCCCTTTATCTTAATTTTATCCAACTTCATCAGGGATGCTTCCTGGTCATAGATGAGGTCAACCAGCTCCTCTGTTATCTTGAGTGACGTCTGGTATTCCTTTTCCGCGATCTCTACTGGCTCAACGCTACCAACCACCCCTCATCTTACAGGTAGCGCAGACATTCTCCTGTGCAGGTCAGTCACATTCCTACCAATAATTGCCGGAATGAACTTTTCTCTTGTACACTTCTCCAATGGGATGAAGAGGTATTAATAGTGTTCTGGATGGTGCGCATCACAAAGGTCCACCGATGACAGAGGGCTTTGGTATACAATGATAGGGCTGCCTGAGGTTCATCAAGAGCAATTTCTGACAACTCTTCTACAGCCTCCTCTCCACCTATCACTGTTCCCAGATGATGTTCCCCATCGCATGTGATCTCTATACCAGTATCTCCAAATAAAAATGTTGTAATATGGTATTTAGAGATATCTTTTAGGATATCTTAGTTTTAGTATAACGTTTACGGGACGTATAATTTAGTATGTGTTTCCGGGTATTATATAATAACCAATGTTTTTATATGTTCGTATTTGGGAGTTACACATTTGAGTGTAAGTCGGTTGGCTGGCAGAACTACTGTCAGACTAACTGTCTGAAACGAGCCGTCCGCTCACTTTGCACCTGACTTACAGCCAGGCCTGTGGTTGGTCCTCGCGACCACAGCGTGACTGCTAGTGGAGTGCTCATTGGCGAGACGGCGTGTCGCGTGGTACAAGCAAATGCGTTGTGCCGTCACGCAGTGTGGCGTGACGAGTTTTGAGAGTATACCCGAAGAGCCGGAAGTGGAGAGCTCACTTCTTAGTTGCCCCTTAATCATTTTAAGGGATTCAAATTGACGGTAGCCAGTGTTACTGAGCACTACCATTTGTGATTAGTCACGTCAATTGATTGGAGCGAACACTTGGAAGTTTTTATCTGTTGACGTTCACTTTGTATTACTTTTCCTTTATATTTATTTAGATCCTTTTTAGTTACTCGTTTCTTTTCTACTATTCGGTACGCCCTGCCGTTCGTGCTACGTGACTAGAGCTTGACTAGCATACACTAAATACCTAGAGAACTCCGTTTTCTATATCTGGAGGCCACTTTTAGTGTTGCTATTTTGCTCGTGATCCTTCTATTATCACCTATATTCAGTATAGTTTCGATTAGATCCTAACGTTGTCATTTGCTAAGCTAAGTTCGGGGTTACGTCGCAGTTCAGAAGAATTACGTGGAGGTTGACTTAGATCTTCAGTACTTCCTACTAGAATTGGTAAGTGTTGCTACGCATTTTGTGGTACCTGTATATTCCAGTGCTATCGTTTTAACGAGCACCCAGTTTACAGCCGTTTGTAGATTCAGTACAGTATTACCTAGGTTGTTAGTGAGTTTTGCGTAAGTTTAGCAACCTTACTTTTCGTACTTATCTACTCAGGAGTGATAGACGTAGAAGTTACAGTTCCAGTAAAGAATCTAGTAAAGTCTTGACTAGAAGATTTTCCAGCAACGTGAAGAGTACGCCTGTTCCAGTACTTATCTACTCTATTTGTAAGTGCACTTTTACATTTAGATTCACGTTTTAGCATGTGTGATAGTTATGCAGCTGAAATGGAGTGGGCGACGTCAATTATCGAGTCAAACATAAATAAGACTATGGAGGAGATAGATGGTTTAGGTACAGATAGCCATGACATTTCCGATTTAGAGAAGGAGTTGAATTCAGCTTTAGAATGCCTGCAGAATAAGATTGATAATGTACGGCCAGAACCACTTAGCACAGTTACTAAGTTTAGAAACGTGAACATCGGGGATGATTTTGACAACAGTATGATAACCCCATTGAATAGTTCAGTCGCTGGTCCACATTTGACGGGTGCCAAGCCTCCCAAGCCTCCTTACTTTGAAACTGGATCTAATTTCATCATATTTGCCAGGCGGTTCAAGGAGCATTTGATTCTGTGTGGACATAGCGGTGGTTCTGATATTAGCACGTATATGTTGTCGTACATTCGTTGTGAATCCACCTGGGAAATACTGCAGAAAATCTCTCTTAGGCCGGATGAGAGATGTAATATTGATCGTCTTATTAAGCGATACTCAGAGGAGATATTTCCAGCTACTCAATCTTGGGCCTATAGAACTGAGCTCATGTCATTGCGTCAGTTAGCAAATGAGAACCTACAGCAGTTTATTTCACGTATAGATGAGCTTGCTTTTAAAGCCGGATACGACTGCGAGTCGAAGAGGGACGAGAGTTGCTTGCATGTTCTTGTTGTAGGAGCTCGTGACGTAGCTGTAAGGACTAAGCTTTATGAGTCCCAGTTACATTCCTATAGAGAGGCAGTAAAACTAGCAATTCACACTGAGCGTATCACGTTAGCTGTGAGTGGTGAACCAGGGGGTTTCACTCAGGTCCAGGATACCATTTTCGCCATTAGTAATCCTGAATTAGATGGCCAGAGAGCTAGGGTCACAGCACCTGGACAAACACGTGACCACTTTATGACGGGCACTAGACAGGAGAGTTACAGTCCTGAATGTCCTCCTTCCCATTCGGAAGTTAACCAGCACACAGGCCGATCATGGACTCCTAATCTGGTTAGCAATAGTTTTAGGGGTGGTATGAGAAATGATGATCGTAGAAACACGTCTGTTCGGTCACGTTATCAGCCAACTCGCAAAGTGGTTAATTCTAATAATCGGGGATCACGTAACGTTCGCTCTCAGTTAGAAGGTTGTTGGGAGTGTGGTAATAGAGGGCATTTTCAGAGAAACTGTCCGAGCAAATTTGCTGGTAATAGAAGTAGATATCAAGACAGAGGGTCTTTATATCAGAGTGGTTATGGCCAACAGAGTGGGAACATAGCTTATAGACCTAACAATCAGGCGCCTTTAAACTTCTATGAGGATTGTAACGAGATTGGTGGCAGTAAGGGAAACTGCATTTTGGTTGGAGGAAATTGTGCTGGTAGATCAGCAAATTTCTTTGTGGATACGGGATCATCTATTTCTATAATTGCTGAATCATTTGTCAGATTTATAGATAAGTTTGAGAAGGTTGTGTCGTGTAATCTCAAGCTCAAGTCCTTTTCGGGAAATAGCATAAAGACTTTCGGTCAGATTAAGCTTCCAGTGATAATTGCCGGAAAATCTTTTGAGCACACCTTTGTTGTTTCTGAATTTCATGAGGCAGAGGTTCTGATAGGCATGGATTTGATGTTTGATCAGGGGATTAATATTAATGCCAGAGATAGATTGCTGTATACTAATAAGGGTTCATCATGTTTTAGAACACCACCTAAACCCACTAAACGCTGCATGAAGGTAGTATGCAATGAAACAGTAATCATACCACCTCTCTCGGGCACTCATATACAAGGCAAATTGTTGCGACCTAAAAGTCAACGTGATGACGTTTATGGCCAGCTAGAACCTCATATTAACACGGTTGTAGGTACTGGCATATTCACAGCGCACTCTCTCATACGGTCTGAGGACAACATGGTCCCTGTTAGAGTCATGAATCCTACAGATAAGCCTGTGAAGATAAGTAAGAGAACCTGGCTGGGCAAGATGAAGCCAGTAGAGTTTGGTGAGCGAGTGATGAGAATAACCTGTGAAACGGTTAATGCGATATCATCTGATTGTTCAGTGCCAGAGGTGAGCAAGCTAGCTGATGAGGAGCCGCTAGTTAAGGAATGGGATAGAGAGAGTCTTTTCAAACAGTTGAAGTTAGACGAGTTGAAGATAAGCGAGGAAGACAAGAATGATCTTCGAGAGACTGTGTGGGAGTATAGAACCATTTTCTCGAGTGGAGAGCATGATTTAGGTTGTTGTAATTTCTTTGAGGCACATCTCCAGCTCAAGGATAACTATAAACCTAGGTGGGTTCCATCGAGAAGGATTCCGTTTAAGCAGCAGCCGGAAATGGATAGACAGATTAGAGGTTTGCTTAGATCTGGTGTGGTTGAGGAATGCCCTGACCACTCTAATTTTAATTCTCCCCTTTTCCTGGTGCCATCAGGAGATCGCTCTAGATTAGTTGCGGATCTGAGAATGGTAAATTTAGAGCTTCAGGATGATTTGATGGAGCTGCCTAACTTGAACCACATTTTAGACAAAGTGGGCGATAAGAATCTGTATTCGACAGTGGATTTGAGTAAATCTTTTCACCAGGTTCCGTATACCAAGGAATCCAGGCATGTCACGGCGTTCATGCACAATCAGAAGAGGTATCAGTTTGCTAGAATGGTCATGGGCCTGAAATCTAGTTCAGCTACGTTTACTAGAATGGTCATGCGGTTGATAAACGGTCTGGGTATATCAGATGCGTTAGCATTCTTCATAGATGATTTACTGATATTCACGCGTGATGTAAAATCTCACATTCAGATACTGTCAGTACTCTTTGCTCGTCTTAAGTTGGGTAATCTGAAACTAACACCTCGTAAGTGCAGATTTTTACGTGAGGAGGTTGAATATGTCGGTATTACTCTAACTAAGGAAGGAGTCAGGATGAACGACTCTCGCATAGAGCATATTAAGAAGTTAGAACCTCCCTGTAATAGAGCGGAATTGCAGTCAGTTTTGGGCATGTTAAACTATTCCAAGAAGTTCTGCAAGGGATACTCCGAGATAGCACGTCCCCTTTATGCTTTACTTCGGAAAAATAAGGTGTTTGAGTGGACTGAAGATTGCCAGAGTGCATTTCAGAGGTTACGTGACATGTTGATATCAAGTCCTGTCCTAGCTTTTCCGGAGGTTAGCGACCCGGAAAATAGTTATGAGGTGACTCTAGATGGTTCTAAACACGCATTTGGTGGCACTTTGACTCAGTGGATCAAAGGAAAGAGGAGGGTGATTGCATACTTTTCTCGTAAGGTTCCGGACCACAAGCGGATATGGCCGCAAACTCAGATTGAATTTGAGACTTTATATCAGACTCTGAAACATTTCTCGGTTTACTTACGTGGCGTTAAAAACTTCACTGTTATCACAGATTGTCTGCCACTCTTGAATATTACGACAATATTTTCAAAGATGTCATCTTCTGTTATCAGGAAGCTTCAGGAGCTTGCTAACTATACTTTTACTATGAAGCATATCTCGGGGAAGAGTAACCAGATGTGTGATGGACTTAGTCGTTATAAGTATCAGGTTTATGGTAAATCTCGAGAAAATGTTGCGAGCATTGGTCATAGTTCCACTTTTAGTCTTGATGCTGCGTTAGAGGGAGTAAACCGGGTGAGACGTGAGCATTATAGATGTAAACACCCGATACTGTTTAAGAGGATGCAAGTATCGGTTAGCAGCGAGACTGTGGTTGATGATGATTGCAGTAATCTGATTGAGGAATCTTGCAATGAGGTGAGTGTTGAGGACAGTATGATTCCGGGGTTCTTGTTTGATGAAAATAGTGAAGACCCTAGTATTGTAAGCATTGTTCAAATTACGCCTGAAGTTGATAGCCGTCATTGCAATTGTAATCTTACCCAGGCTGATCCTATTCCTACAGAGGAAGCATCAGTAGTGGAAGCAGTGGAAATTGTTTCAACGGTTACTAGTGATGTAAGCTCGCTAGAGAGAAGGGTCAAATTTCTTAATCCTACCAATGAGCAGATTAAACAAGCTCAGAAGGATGATGATATTTTAAACCAGGTCTACAGTTGGGTTACCAAGGGTGAGAAACCTGTTGCCATTCAGACTAGTAAACTGCCTCAGGAACTGTTGAGTTATTGGAAACAGTTTGATCTTATAAGTATCAAGGACGGGATACTTAGGAGACGTTGGACTGAAGTGAGGGATCCGGAGGGAAGTAGAGAGTTGATCATAGTCCCCGAATCCTTGCATGAATCTGTCCTGGACATGGTGCATAACCAGGAGACTGCACATGCTGGAGTAGAAAATTGTCTTGAGGTCTGTAAACGACATTTCTACTGGCCGAAAATGGGCGAATGTTTCAAATTATGGATCGCAGCATGTTGCAGGTGTGCAGCAAGTAAGCCACCTCAGGCATACAATAAGGCACCTCTCAAGCACATATTGTTCCACTCCTTTAACTCAGCAATTTGTTTCGATCATATAGTACCTGAGAAGGTTGGTGCTACACCTAGAGGTTACAAGTATATTTTGACTATAACCGATTGTTGGTCAAATTATGTGGTAGCTATTCCTACTAAGACCCAGACAGCTAAGGAGAGCGTGTCATTGATTCGTAGGTTTTGGATTGATCGTTTTGGCCAGCCTAGATTCATGATGGCTGATAATCATCCGGGGTTTAGAGCTAAGTATTTCGAGACCATAGCTCAAGCATTAGATTGCAAGTACATTCATGGACAACCGTACGTTTCTCGTAGTACTGGTAGAGTTGAGAGAGCAAACCGTCGGTTGAATACTGCTCTGAGAACCAGCTTACCACCAGGACGATACCAGGACTGGGATCTTTGGTTATCTAGAGTAGTCTTTGTACTTAACTCATTGCGGAATCGGCACACAGGTTATTCTAGCAACAGGTTGGTGTTTGGTCGTGAGTTAAACACACCTTTAAGCCTGCTAGCTGAGAATCGTAAGGATTTTGAGCTAGAGCCTATGAAGGAGAATGAGTTTGATGTTGAAGCGTACGAGCTGTACAAGAATCTCAAGTTTATCACCAGGAAGGTGAGGGTCCAAGCTGAGCGTGATTTTTGCTATGCACAGAGATATCACGATAAGCACGTTAAGGGACCATTCTTTGAGGAAGGTGAGGAAGCTTTTGTTTTGATAAATTGTCCAAAGCACAAGTTCGGTCCTCGTTGGGTTGGCCCGTATAAGATCTCTAAGAAGATAAATGATCACTTGTACTGTTTAGATTTGCCTGATGGAGAGAAGAAGGTGTTTAACATTGGAAAGTTAAAGAGATATGTCAGGAACAAGTTTTCTGAGAAACTAGAGACTAGATTTACATTGCCTAAAGTTGTTAGCAGTGAAGCTGAGTTAGAGACGGCCTCATCAAGGCGAGATGTAGTCTATTCCGATAGTGATAGTGAAGAGGAGACAGATTTTCAACTGAGAAGAGCACCAGTTGTAGCAAGGAGAAGAGAGGTTCATCCGAAGAAGTTTCGTCTGGAGAGGGATGATGCAGCTAGCATTTATAAACAACCTAGTTTTAGTTCAACTCCTAGGGCTGTTAATAGACCTGTTCAACTAGATCTGAATTCTACAAATCCTAGTTTTCGTACGGTAACCCCTGTCACACATAACATTCCCTCAGGCGATAGTGTGGAAACAGTTGATAATTCTGCAGAATTCTTCACTCCAGCTAGAGAGAGATCGGCCGCTAGAAGATCATCGAGTCCGGTTGTTGGTGAAGGAACGATGGGTCATAGCAGTTCTATGTCATATGATACAGTGGGGCACGACATTGACACAACAGGATCGCTTTCTCCTGTGGATCTAAGAAGACAGAGCCCTCCGAGGGAGGAGCGCAGATATAACACTAGGAGACCTGAGGAACGGAGACAACCTGATCGTCTAGGATACAACGTTAGACTAGTTACGGATCTTATAAAACTCTTCAACCAGTAGAAGACGAGGAGATGCCCGGATAGGGAAGTACACTTACTTTGGAATCTAGTTTCAGTACAGTATAGTCTTACTCACATAGCTAGCTTTCTACTTAGTATTTAGCAGTGGAACCGTACCTTACTTAGGTATAACACGTGTTATCTTTCAGAACAGTACTGATAGGGATATTAGGATCTTTACTCGCAACACGAACCGTTCAGGGCTGCTTTAGTGGCGGAAACGTAGAAACTTTCGAATTTATTTTGACTTCTTTGTTTGCTTGTCAAGGACGATTTAGAGATTCGATCAGCTCTATCTAATGATGAAGACTCAACACCAAGGACTCTACTACTTGGTGCGAAAAGGAAGTATTGGAAAGTTTTGAAAGATTTTTGGAAGTCAATTTTAGTTTTAATTTTAGTATTTTCAGTTTTAACTTTAGGATTTTGAGGATTTAAATTTAATGCACAGGGTTAGGGCCGTGTACTATATTTTGAAACTTGACCTATTTTTAAGTTTTGGACTTTTGATGCGTGGAAGCATTGAAATTTAAATTTTGAAAAGGGCGATTATTTTATTGTTTTAAAATATTCGAAAAAAATTTTTGGGTAGAGATGTTGTAATATGGTATTTAGAGATATCTTTTAGGATATCTTAGTTTTAGTATAACGTTTACGGGACGTATAATTTAGTATGTGTTTCCGGGTATTATATAATAACCAATGTTTTTATATGTTCGTATTTGGGAGTTACACATTTGAGTGTAAGTCGGTTGGCTGGCAGAACTACTGTCAGACTAACTGTCTGAAACGAGCCGTCCGCTCACTTTGCACCTGACTTACAGCCAGGCCTGTGGTTGGTCCTCGCGACCACAGCGTGACTGCTAGTGGAGTGCTCATTGGCGAGACGGCGTGTCGCGTGGTACAAGCAAATGCGTTGTGCCGTCACGCAGTGTGGCGTGACGAGTTTTGAGAGTATACCCGAAGAGCCGGAAGTGGAGAGCTCACTTCTTAGTTGCCCCTTAATCATTTTAAGGGATTCAAATTGACGGTAGCCAGTGTTACTGAGCACTACCATTTGTGATTAGTCACGTCAATTGATTGGAGCGAACACTTGGAAGTTTTTATCTGTTGACGTTCACTTTGTATTACTTTTCCTTTATATTTATTTAGATCCTTTTTAGTTACTCGTTTCTTTTCTACTATTCGGTACGCCCTGCCGTTCGTGCTACGTGACTAGAGCTTGACTAGCATACACTAAATACCTAGAGAACTCCGTTTTCTATAAAAACATGGCTGCTGGTAGTAGCCATTTTGGGCCCTTTAGGATAAGAACAGTGGCGTAACGAAAGGCCCTGCTGACCCCGCTGTGCAGGGGGCGCCGTCTTAGGGGGGCGCCAAATCGTCGTTTGAATGTGGGACAATTTCGAAAACTTAACTAAAGTACTAGCAAAACTGCGCGTTTTGCTCTAGATACACACTTTTTTAGAGATTTTACCGGCGTATTCTCTAAAATCGCCTAATTTGTTCAATTTTAGGGAGGAGCACCAAAAGGGGAGGGGGCGCCAACAGGGGGCGCTTTTTTCGGCAGGGGGGCGCCAACAGGCAACGTTACGCCACTGGATAAGAATAGTCTTCATTTTTTTGGGGAAGTAGCCTAACTTAGGACCGTTCAAACTGAGTAAATCCTACAACAGCCCGAGTTTCTTCAGAGAACCTGCTGCTGCAGAGTCATCCACACACCACGCTTGCATCAATTGTAAGCTAGTAGCCGGCTTTTACAGGCCAGTAGTTATCGGGTATAATCCACGATTCTGTATTACATTACCGATTATCAAAGTTTGGTGTGGGTAACTTCTCTGCAGTGGCTCCTAAGATGTACAAAGGACTTCCTGTTACCAGGCAACATATCATTTGCATTGGCTCAATCTTTGGAATCTTTTAAGACTCTTCTAAAATCTTTCCTATTTAGACTGTTCCTTATTCTTTCATCAATGTGTACTCAATATCAATGACAATACGAGAAAACATAGATAGTAATCAAATTAATCGTCGAAAAGATAACCTAATAAAGTGAATAAAGGAGGTTTAAAATGCAAAGATAACACTAATAAATTACTAAAGTATTCTTGTGAAAATTTGGCAGTATTGCTTTAGCGCTCGATTTTCATACTATAACTACGGTGTACATTTTCGAAAATATGCGCGGCGCACCTAAAATTTGGTTCCATTAAGAATTAATTATTTTGCCAGAATTATATTTGATGCATTTAAATTAGTCGTTATTAGTAGACGTACAGAAATAAATTTCGAAAATATTGTTATATAGGTTATAAATTGTAGGTTTACAACCTACCAGAACGGCGGCACAGTTAAGTAACGCATCGCGCTACAAAGCAACAAACGCTTGTCGATACAAAGTGAAAATGATAATTTGCGCGGCGCGTCCAAAATCTCCAAGCAAAGAAAGTGCTGCTAACTGCTGATCAATTTCTTTATCCAAAGCCTTTTATTTGCATTGCGCGAAATTTGCAGTTATAGCACATGCAACATGGTTATGTGAAGCTGATATCAAATATATTACTGCTAGCTGATAACTGCTGCTCATTACTGTATTGTCGACGTTTTTGTTATACACTTAATATTTGAAGCAAGTATTTTAAGAGTATCACCCGTTTTACTGGGCAGTGGGCCGCGCTCAGCCTGTCATTCCGCCTAATCTCTATCAACATTAAAGCCTGGGGTCCTCAGGTAACACCCGTTAAACCTTAAACCTTCGGCAACCGATGTTGCTTTAACTTGTCATACGCTGTATGACCCGCCGCGCACGAAGTGCGCGGCTCCCCCTGTATCGTCGAAGACGATACATTATAGTGAAGCGACAGTGGGGGTCACCACGTGATACAAGCTTTAGCGGTGTCATGTTGGCATAAAATCCATACGGTCAAAATTTGCACGCTGGCAGCTTACTAAATTGTTTTTACTACACAGCTGTACGTGCCTAATTGACGATGTAAATTCATCGCAGCTCGGCGAGGCACAATAACGCATTTTGCGATCTAGTCACTAGTGAGAAGCATAATTGAGTGCGCAGCGCAGCACAGTAACACATCGCGCTACAAGGCCCCTGCGAGCTGCCAGTAAGATTTCCTGGCCTGACCTTAGGACCTTATATTGAAAACTTAAATGCTATTTTAACATGTTATACTGGTAAAACCAAAAACATTTGACCGTAAACGGGTTCAACTCGGCGATCATTTTGATTTTGATAGGTTATTAATTTGTAGCGCGATGCACTACTGGGTCGCGCGCGCGCATCCAATAATGCTTCTCGCAACCACGTATGCAGATCGGCGAGATGCGAAGGATTGACATCGTGAATCAAGTTATTAATATATGATATAAATTATAACATATAATTGTTTATATATTATAACTTAACGGGTGATACACGTAAACAGTAAAATATATGTTCCATATACAATATATTGGACCGTCGACGAGTCCAACTAGCTCGGCGCGCGTCCTGGTAGGTTGTAAACCTACAATTTATAACCTTATAACCTATATAACAATATTTTCGAAATTTATTTCTGTACGTCTACTAATAACGACTAATTTAAATGCATCAAATATAATTCTGGCAAAATAATTAATTCTTAATGGAACCAAATTTTAGGTGCGCCGCGCATATTTTCGAAAATGTACACCGTAGTTATAGTATGAAAATCGAGCGCTAAAGCAATACTGCCAAATTTTCACAAGAATACTTTAGTAATTTATTAGTGTTATCTTTGCATTTTAAACCTCCTTTATTCACTTTATTAGGTTATCTTTTCGACGATTAATTTGATTACTATCTATGTTTTCTCGTATTGTCATTGATATTGAGTACACATTGATGAAAGAATAAGGAACAGTCTAAATAGGAAAGATTTTAGAAGAGTCTTAAAAGATTCCAAAGATTGAGCCAATGCAAATGATATGTTGCCTGGTAACAGGAAGTCCTTTGTACATCTTAGGAGCCACTGCAGAGAAGTTACCCACACCAAACTTTGATAATCGGTAATGTAATACAGAATCGTGGATTATACCCGATAACTACTGGCCTGTAAAAGCCGGCTACTAGCTTACAATTGATGCAAGCGTGGTGTGTGGATGACTCTGCAGCAGCAGGTTCTCTGAAGAAACTCGGGCTGTTGTAGGATTTACTCAGTTTGAACGGTCCTAAGTTAGGCTACTTCCCCAAAAAAATGAAGACTATTCTTATCCTAAAGGGCCCAAAATGGCTACTACCAGCAGCCATGTTTTTATTTGGAGATACTGGTATAGAGATCACATGCGATGGGGAACATCATCTGGGAACAGTGATAGGTGGAGAGGAGGCTGTAGAAGAGTTGTCAGAAATTGCTCTTGATGAACCTCAGGCAGCCCTATCATTGTATACCAAAGCCCTCTGTCATCGGTGGACCTTTGTGATGCGCACCATCCAGAACACTATTAATACCTCTTCATCCCATTGGAGAAGTGTACAAGAGAAAAGTTCATTCCGGCAATTATTGGTAGGAATGTGACTGACCTGCACAGGAGAATGTCTGCGCTACCTGTAAGATGAGGGGTGGTTGGTAGCGTTGAGCCAGTAGAGATCGCGGAAAAGGAATACCAGACGTCACTCAAGATAACAGAGGAGCTGGTTGACCTCATCTATGACCAGGAAGCATCCCTGATGAAGTTGGATAAAATTAAGATAAAGGGCAGAGTTAACAGCCTCAAGTTAGTTAAAGAATTACGCTTGAAGAAGGAGCTTGCTGAGATAATTCAAGTGAAGTGGATGAGAATACTAGGGAGTCACTGCAACTGGTACAAGAACATGGGTCAGGAGCTTGGCTAACATGTCTCCCCATTCAACAGCTAGGGTATGCTTATAGCGAGCAAGACTTCAGAGATGCTGTTCATCTCTGGTGTGGTTGGGACATCCCTAACACCCCAAGAATCTGTGATTATGGAGCCAAGAATGATCACAATCATATCCTCAACTGTAAGAACTACCGTCATAACAACATGAGAGACTCTGTTGCTGAATACCTTAGGCTGGTGACCAAGGATGTGAGCTGAGGATTTAGCCCCTGTTAACACCTATAGAATCAGCCAACTTCCAACAAAAGGGCAACAATGCTGATATAAGGCTAGGCTCGATATATCAGCAAGAGGAGTATGGAGCACATTTGAGAGGACTTTCTTTGACATGCGTATTTTCAATCCTAAATCGCCTACATATCAAGGAAA